CTGTGTTTGGAAAATTTGAAGCAGCTATTTAAACCAGAAGTGAAACTCGTGTGATCATTGTGCCATGGCTTCTGGTCTCCTAATACTGCAACGTCAAATATTGTAATGTGAGACGGAAGGATGTATTGATCACATCCTTGTATTGCGTCGTAATAGAGCATCAGTTCATATGCTGTTGAATCGCAACTGCGGCTCTCCTTGACAGGAAATGAACCTTTCACACTGTGTAACTGCGTGACTGTTCTCAGTAGACTTAACCAAATGAAATGCCCATGCAGTTCGTGGGAATCCTCTAATTCTTTTACTTCCACGCCTTCATTTATACCAGGTTTTACAACAGATCACCAAAACATCCTGCCAAAACTAGAGGAGCTTTTCAAAGTAGCCCTACCTCACTCGTTTTGTTCACGGTTGTCGTAAACGCCGTCGCAGATGGCACACTACAACCATCATGATAATGAATGCTTGACTGTAACACCCTTGTGATACTTAGCTGACATGCCTGTCAGGTTGGTTTTATAAAGTCTAGACGGGCAATCGAGATGTAGGGGGTGACTTAAAATCAAGTACGCTACGAGAGTAAATTTACACCATGGAAACTGAGCCACCTTACGCTCAACAATCTTAAGCAAAGAATGATGCACATGCAAGCACTTAGTGATAAACCAGCGAATGCGACTCCCTAGGTTCAAGTCAAATTGACAGTTAACACACTTTCATTCTAGTTATTGATAGTTGCAGGTGTAAAATGACAGATAATCGCATAAGACCGCAAAATGAAGGCCCTAACGGATAAAGTGTGTGCTGTAAAATCCTATCTCTCTCCAAGCTGGAGACTGAGTGAATATCCTTGCACATGGTTGAAAAACTTCCAAACTACCACGGAAATCATAAGCTGTCAAATGCCTACTAACGTTGGTCAGTCATTTTGCGATAGAATACAGTTGAATGAATAGAGGAGAATGTCGGTAGCTCAGATATTAATTGTTCACGTATAGAGGCTTGTCGGCAGGCTAAGTTTTCCCAGCTACAGTTGGATGAAACTTGCATAGAATGCCAGATCAATTCTGAAACGTGATGCTTAGATGTGCTCATTTTAATCCCATTCAATGGGATAGACTTCCACCGGTGGGTACACAGAACACGTTTTGAACCAAGCATCTACCTTTCCTTTTTTCCAATCGCTGCTAGTATCTGATTTCCTCAGGGTTGTTAGACAATTAAGCAATGGCCGTGCTATTGGCGAGTGACCCACCCATTAAGTAAAACAAAATACGGATAGCATTGTTCATATTTCCAGTTTAAAATGAAACTGTTGGAATATTCACTTATGCTGTTGAAAAAGACGAAATAAGAACGTATGAGAATAGCGATCACGCAATCATGGACAACTCAGTGTTTAATCGAAACCCAACAAGTCTAGAACGTCGGCCATTGCTGCGTTTGGTCCATCGTTTAGTGGTGAGCGTGGGAGCCATTGGGTGTATCTCCCAACCATACTGAGCCATCGTATCGCACGACATTCAACACCTATTTGGGATCACCTAGAGCATCGGTCAAAATCACACACTTGGGACGTTTAGAAAACCCCCTAGTATTACATCTGCAAAGGGTACTCACGGCTTCGTTAGGATATGGTGTTTTCACCAACATGTGGCACGCTGTAGAAGCACTCTGACTGCTTACTCTTCATTGAGAACGCCATATACTTTTGGAATGTCTCCCAGTATTTGTACACGCCGTTCGACTTCCCTTCCGCCCCTTTACCACTGAAACATCTCAGGCCTGTCGGCTTCATTCGTCCACAATATACTGTATCATTTTGAACTCCAACCGACTTTGTTGTTAATGTTGTTTTTGAGTATCGTTCTTTAGTAGATGTGATCTACGAAAAAGCGTCCGGAGTGAAACCTGGTCTGAAGTCATTTTTACGGACAGGATTGTGTAGGGGCTATTCCAAGCTCAGAATCACTTCGGAATCGTGCGATAACATAGTTTTCTCAACTAACAATATGGCATTTTTGTGGATTTATGATTTACGTTCCGTGAATTTGGACAGAGATGTCGGACACCAGGCCAATACTCTGATGGACATGCTAGGAGAAGCAACGCTTAGTTATTCCCAAGCCAAAAAAACTCAATTTTGCGTAAAAAGTAATCTGACAAGTTGGTCGGCAATCAATCAAGTAACGTTTCTGGAAGAATGTAGCGACATTTTGGAAGACTAATGGAAAGTCTTGTGCATACATTGTTATCGACGATACTTTTAGTGATTGCTTCCTGTTGCAATGTGGCTTCAGGCTTTCAGTGGTCTCCTTCAGTAAGGATGATACAATTATCATTGATATTACTAGCTGGGCAATAATAAGGAAGGCAAATTCAGCCAAAATGTAACATATAGACCTCCTCAACTTTTCCCATAAAGCTTTTGGTCGTTAGCAAGTGTGCGATAGGCAGGCTTCTGCCAATGAATATGCAAGAGCTAAATTAAGAAGTCAAACAAGTAACGTAGATTTTGGGTTTACATGGTGATAAAATCATTTTTAAAAAAACCTTGAGCCAAGCAGCCGCTGAAGCTGTGTTTGGAAAATTTGAAGCAGCTATTTAAACCAGAAGTGAAACTCGTGTGATCATTGTGCCATGGCTTCTGGTCTCCTAATACTGCAACGTCAAATATTGTAATGTGAGACGGAAGGATGTATTGATCACATCCTTGTATTGCGTCGTAATAGAGCATCAGTTCATATGCTGTTGAATCGCAACTGCGGCTCTCCTTGACAGGAAATGAACCTTTCACACTGTGTAACTGCGTGACTGTTCTCAGTAGACTTAACCAAATGAAATGCCCATGCAGTTCGTGGGAATCCTCTAATTCTTTTACTTCCACGCCTTCATTTATACCAGGTTTTACAACAGATCACCAAAACATCCTGCCAAAACTAGAGGAGCTTTTCAAAGTAGCCCTACCTCACTCGTTTTGTTCACGGTTGTCGTAAACGCCGTCGCAGATGGCACACTACAACCATCATGATAATGAATGCTTGACTGTAACACCCTTGTGATACTTAGCTGACATGCCTGTCAGGTTGGTTTTATAAAGTCTAGACGGGCAATCGAGATGTAGGGGGTGACTTAAAATCAAGTACGCTACGAGAGTAAATTTACACCATGGAAACTGAGCCACCTTACGCTCAACAATCTTAAGCAAAGAATGATGCACATGCAAGCACTTAGTGATAAACCAGCGAATGCGACTCCCTAGGTTCAAGTCAAATTGACAGTTAACACACTTTCATTCTAGTTATTGATAGTTGCAGGTGTAAAATGACAGATAATCGCATAAGACCGCAAAATGAAGGCCCTAACGGATAAAGTGTGTGCTGTAAAATCCTATCTCTCTCCAAGCTGGAGACTGAGTGAATATCCTTGCACATGGTTGAAAAACTTCCAAACTACCACGGAAATCATAAGCTGTCACATGCCTACTAACGTTGGTCCGTCATTTTGCGATAGAATACAGTTGAATGAATAGAGGAGAATGTCGGTAGCTCAGATATTAATTGTTCACGTATAGAGGCTTGTCGGCAGGCTAAGTTTTCCCAGCTACAGTTGGATGAAACTTGCATAGAATGCCAGATCAATTATGAAACGTGATGCTTAGATGTGCTCATTTTAATCCCATTCAATGGGATAGACTTCCACCGTTAGGTACACAGAACACGTTTTGAACCAAGCATCTACCTTTCCTTTTTTCCAATCGCTGCTAGTATCTGATTTCCTCAGGGTTGTTAGACAATTAAGCAATGGCCGTGCTATTGGCGAGTGACCCACCCATTAAGTAAAACAAAATACGGATAGCATTGTTCATATTTCCAGTTTAAAATGAAACTGTTGGAATATTCACTTATGCTGTTGAAAAAGACGAAATAAGAACGTATGAGAATAGCGATCACGCAATCATGGACAACTCAGTGTTTAATCGAAACCCAACAAGTCTAGAACGTCGGCCATTGCTGCGTTTGGTCCATCGTTTAGTGGTGAGCGTGGGAGCCATTGGGTGTATCTCCCAACCATACTGAGCCATCGTATCGCACGACATTCAACACCTATTTGGGATCACCTAGAGCATCGGTCAAAATCACACACTTGGGACGTTTAGAAAACCCCCTAGTATTACATCTGCAAAGGGTACTCACGGCTTCGTTAGGATATGGTGTTTTCACCAACATGTGGCACGCTGTAGAAGCACTCTGACTGCTTACTCTTCATTGAGAACGCCATATACTTTTGGAATGTCTCCCAGTATTTGTACACGCCGTTCGACTTCCCTTCCGCCCCTTTACCACTGAAACATCTCAGGCCTGTCGGCTTCATTCGTCCACAATATACTGTATCATTTTGAACTCCAACCGACTTTGTTGTTAATGTTGTTTTTGAGTATCGTTCTTTAGTAGATGTGATCTACGAAAAAGCGTCCGGAGTGAAACCTGGTCTGAAGTCATTTTTACGGACAGGATTGTGTAGGGGCTATTCCAAGCTCAGAATCACTTCGGAAGCAAATCCTGAGGCACAGTTCGACTTTTCACCATCATCTGAGTCACACTTAACAAAAAAATACTTGAAAGGAACGTTAAGATGAGAATGAACGACTTATCAGATTGAGGAAACGATCACGACGGGGCAACAGCAACGGGTTGGTGTATGATCAGGGTTTCATGACAGCGAATATTTTGAACAGCTTCCGGAAATTTAAGTTGCGACACTAACAGCTAAGAACTCTCAATGATTCCTTCACATGTATTTAAGGTATAAGCCAAGAGCTGAAGGCGTGAGTAAGAACTCTATTAGCCGATAAACAACTAGTCTTATGAGAACACTTAATGGGTCAATAGAAAATTCGAACAAGTTATCTCTAATCTACCTGATAATGACACCAGTTACTACTTCAGTTACTAGTGTATTTAATGTGATAAACAACCCCAATGCTTTTTGAAACTTACCTGGTGTAAGGATTTTTGATACCTCAAGACAGCCATTTCCGACAGCTCCTTGATAGAAATGTTCCCCTGACCACAAGGAACCACAATTTTCACATTTCCAAACGATACCGTCACTTTCATATCCGAGAATTATTCTTTCAGAAGTCGGTGAAGTCCAAGTCTTCCAGGGCTTATTATCATATTTCCGGGGAGATGTTTACCTCGAGATAGAAAAAGTAGCCTAAGTTGTGTGGGAATAACGGTATATTAAAATCTGAATGCAAGGGAAGAGTCCACTAGTTTGCAGGACGCTTTCGCTTTTCAGAAATTCTCACATATGTAGTATTCCAGAAATAATAATGGACCAAAGCGAATTATTGATTGCACAAATTGCGCACGAATATATGTAAAGATCACATGCAGATGCTTGCGGCACATAAAATGCATTCCCACTGCACCGACCGCGACGAAGTACGGGCTTCATTTCCGCGGTTGAAGAGATAATATAACTTATGCGTCAGGCGAAAGTGATGTAGGAAGCGCTTTAGATCAACTGTTAGTGTAAATTGGAAATGTTCACTACCCTCAGGTTTTTTATAAACTACGGGGAATTTCAGCGGCCTACCAGTTCATGGAAAAAATGAGTTCGACACATTTAAACAACGGACGAGCACAAGTGGTAAGAATGCTAAACTTGTACTCAAAAAGTTGTCACATGCTTATTATTTTTAAAATGCTTATAATCATTTGCTCCAGCTCTTTGTCGTTTCCGTTTGCTCGTGAAAGACTGTAAAAAATTTCCCTCAGTGTTTAGTCAGTTTATAGAGTCAAAATGTGTCATTTTATTGAATTTTTCGCCCGGACATAGCAAGTGCGTGAAAGATTCTGCCAGCTTGTACTCCACTTCTGCGGTGTATCCGCTTACAAGCCGTACTCCTCGGCAGCTATCGGATGACCACATTATATGTGGAATTGGATGCCTAGCGAGTGTTAAACGTGGAATGCAATGTCACTCTAACAGGGCCTGGTATCTCTTTAAATACTGAACGGATGGATAACCCTACTATCTCACTCTCATGACTTGTTTGTCTGCATCAGCTGCCTGCATCTTTTGGGTGTTATGCATACCGAAACAAACGAGACGGCTGTCACTCACGAAACCGTGTCTTCATTTCTGATTGGAGCAGATTGTGGTGTTTTCTGCGTTTATTTTACTTCCATTATAACACTAGGTATTTCATCAATTGCATGATTGTTTTTTTGTTTGAATACGAAAAACTACAAAAACCCGCACACGTGCAAAATATTCACGCAATACAAACGTGGTCACGTGCTTCGACTCCCTCCTCTGATTTTGCTCGCGCCTGCAGCGGTCATTCGCGAGTCTCATGTGCCAACTCGGGTATCAAGATATTTCAGGCCATCTTCGGAATCCATTATATGTGGGAACTGTTCAGAAGAAGACCTCTGGACCACCATTATTGGATTATTCTTTATTAACTGTCCTGGGCCAATGACGAACTATATAAAATGGAACAGTTATTAGTGAGTCTGTTCCATCTGACCTCTTTTTTACTGTATACCCAATCTAATCTAACATTATTTCTATTTCTTTGCCACACTCCTGGTAAAGTAACTTACTGAGTAGCCAGACGAGTACAGGATCAATACAAATATTCCTATTTTGTCGAGATGCCCAAGAAAGAGAAGGTACTATTTCCGAAATCTCCGGGTGAAAAGCGCAAAGGACAAAACGGTCTGCATGAATGCCGATAACGAAATTTCCTCTCTAAAGAAGTGCAGTGTGCCAATTGTTCCGGGTCCGCTGGCTACAAGGGCAGTTTACCAGTCTTCTGATGCGGCACTCACGACAATCACAGTGTCCCCAGTGGACGGGCACGCGAGTGTGATCGAGCTGATCATCTTGAGGTGGTTCTCTAGATGAACTGCGTCAACGAAACTGGCTCCTTGTTGGGTTTGTCACAAAGGTTGAACACCGAAATCTTCATGCCTAATTATTGCGCGGAAAGAAGTGTGGTGGGTCATAGTTTTATTCCTAAGTTCTTAACACCGTTAACCCGGGTTTGGATATCCGCCCGATAGCCTGGTACTTTTAGCAAAGCCAAGAAGCCAATGAACGTGATTTGTTGAACACTGACGCGCTCAAGCGTGTCATGCTTGGCAGAAAACGGGCCGTTTATAAAGCTCACACGGAAAGCTCTGGGCGTGCCACAAATGGCAAGTAAAAAGCAATCAACTAAATATGCCTCAACAGAAACGGTTGTTCCATCGTCAGTTGTGTGGTCGAGCTAAACCTGCGGCTGGTCATCTTCTTAGAACGCAAGCTAACAACTATGACCATAGTAGACCTTTCCTCGCCAACTGGCTTACAGAGGCTTCCGAGTTGTCCGTTTTCAAGAGGCCTAGCCAAAGTTCAAGACGTTTTGGAGGCACGATGCCTTTTCCAGCAGAATCTTCGGGAACGGACTAACAATTTTTGTGCTAAAATGTTGTACCTTGTTGCATATGTTCTCAGACCAAAAATCACCCCAATCGGCTATCATTTTGGTGTTTTGTTTTAACTAATCCCTTTTTTAAGCTTTTGCGCGCGTTCCACTCAGCATCTCCTTTGCTGTGGTTTAAGAGTTGGCTTCGCATACTTTTGTTAAGAATTTTCGGACTGCATCTTTGTCAACCTCCACGGCGTTTAAGAAGGACTTAAATGAATAGATGAAGTACAACCATGTGGCATTCATGCATGCATCCAATAATCGAAGCTCGAACGCTCTTTTGCGTTACGCATGGGTGTACCACAGATGCGGCAGGCGGCCTGCAAGACAGTGATGGAGCTGAGGAATCCGAAGAAACTTGTAAGCCGAGCGTATCAGGTAGCAAGAGCGCGCAGGCTCAGTTTTTTAATACTGCGCTCCTGCCACCTTCCAGACACGATGGTCGCAATATTTAAGCTATGCGTACGACCAATCGTGGAATTCTG